CCTCCCTTACCCCAATGAAGAATAGGACAAATATACACACACACCAAACTACAGATCACAGACACAGCAGCTACTTATATCTTAAATCTCAACTTAACCAAAGAAAAAAGACCCTGACAAGATAAGATGCCTCTATTCACAAGCTAGTTTTGTGTCAAAGCTGCTCAGGCATATAGCAAACGCCTGAAAAGCCGACAACGGGTACCTATAATCCATCGTGAACATATCCTTCCCAACCTTCCCAAACTGCAAAATAATCTTATCGTGATCCGACAACTGCTGCCCTCCACTCGGCTGCGATCCTCCGGCCGCCGGACCACCGCCACCGGCGGCAATCAGCTGGAAATTCTTCACAGACGCCACCGTCACCCGTCCCCGAAAATTCAGACACCAGCACTGCAGCTGCTCATGCCACCTAGGCGCCTTGTTCTTCAGCACCAATGGTCGGGACTCGGCCACGTCATCATTGCCGATATCGGAAAATCGAGCACTGGTGAACTCAGTCGAGTGATCAAAGGACTTGGAGAATGAGAGGCTGCTGCGGAATGAGTCGTCCTCGAGAGGCCTCGGGATTGAGTGCATGACGCAGTGCATGCGGCGTGGGCCCCGCGTCCCGAGGATGTTGAGCTCGTACGCGATCTGGGCAATGTTGTAGCTGCCAGCTGGCACTTTGGGGGACACTTTCTTGGAAAAGCGGCGGCTCGAGCGCCCGGGTGGCGGCGGCGAGCATAGATTGGAGGGCTGCGTGTCGTAGATTACGAACTTGGTGCCGAGGAAATTTGATCTACGAGAAATCGAGAAGATTTTTTTTTTTTTTTTGTGGATAGNCTAATTAAGAATATTTTTTTTGTCAATAATAATCGTCAGTAATGAGGATAGAGATGGATGTTTTGAGAAAAGATGAAGAGTGAATATGAAAAGACGTAGTGTAATTATTAGCTAGATGAGGGTAATAATGGAAAAATATGTAAAAGAGATCCAAAAAAATTCATTTATTTGGTTAATTGTTGATAAAGCTAAAATGACATTTAAAAAAATAGGAGGTAGTAAAGTAATGTTAATGTTGTTTTACAATCAATTGAAAATAGATCCGAGTGTTGAATCGAAAACTGCGGCAGTAAATTTTTTATATACCTTAGTTTGCCGATGTAAGTGGTGCTTGATCGGGAAATGTGGTCGGCGTCCATGGAGATGACGTACTCGGTGCAAGTAGTCCGACGAGTTCTTTTTGCGGAGAGGAGAAACTTCCCGTTCTCGACGAGCAAAGCTGCGAAATGTTGAATGTCGGATTTCATGAGGATATTAACATAATAGGCATGTGATCAGGCAATCAACGTGAAAGTGACAATTCATGCGCAAGTCAAGATAAATGTATTGATCGTATATATTTATATGGATTATTGAGTTGGGTTGGGTATTTGATATAATAAGTTTCATTGATGACGAAATATTATTTATTATATACGAAATTGGAGGACTTGATTCGTTAAATGACAAATGGTACTTGAACGAAATGGAGTACATTCGTGATAAATGATTAGCTTACGTTCACATGAAGGACAAGAAAATGTGCTGAAAAAACTGAGGAATTTCTACGTGACTAGTGAACGAAAATACCAATAGTAAACCAAATTTGCACTCCAGACAATGAAGCGGCAAAAATACATAATTGCTATGCAAATAATATTAATGAACCAACATATAAAAAATATGACACACACACACATAAAGAAGAAAAAAAAAGAAAACACCAAACCCTGAGCACTCACCAGGACAAAGACACAAAAACAGAGAGTATGTCCAATTCGACTTGTCTCTCTTTATGAAGCACTGTATGGAACCCTCACGAGACCNTAACTACTTGACATATACAAGCAGAAAAACATGTTAGCAAAAAAAATATTACCTGCTTTAAAGAAACGGGAAAGGTAAGCTTCCCACAAAATTCGGGACACTTAACAATCTCCTTGCACATGCTCCTCCACGAGCGGCAGACGGCAGCACATGCCACCACATGCTTCCGGGCAGGCCAGCTACTCTCACTCTCCTCCAATCTCCTAATCACATCATAAAGCAGCTCAGGAGGGAGATTAGCCCAGTGGCTGTTCTGAATCACTAAAGACTGATAGTTCAAGTCTTGGAGGGAGACTTGTGATTTCCCTCTTTGGTGGCCCGTGAGCCTCACGTCAAAACTCCGGCGTGATAAGCTTCCAAAACCGTCCCTTAAATCCCGTGCTATGCTTCGGAATGACATTTATGGGCCTCTAGCAATGTGGGCTTTAGCTGTACAAGACTACAATTCTTTATGGAATGAAATAACAAATTGCAAAGGCGGTGAAAAATAATAACAATAGGTTTTTATGGGGTGCAGCTGTTGAGCTTGGAATGGTGAGCTTGGTTTAAGTATTTCCCACTTTCTGGAATTAGATAACGGAATAAACCAGCGAAGGAATATATTCTATCAGACACAGAAAATTTATTGTTCACTTGCAACAAGTAGTAGCCAGCCGAATAAAATTACCCCTAACAGTGAATGCAATTTGGTAGAATATGGAAGCTGGCATAATGAAGTGTTTTAATTTGTTGTTCAACCAACTCAATTTCAGAACTCTTGACTCGCTCGCTCTTGTAGAGAAACAAAAAAAACCAAAGAGGTCAAATGCACCTAAAAGAATTTAACAAAATATACCGCATACTGACACTTAATTCAGTTCTTTACACAATGCAAACATGAGTTTAACAACACTAACATATTATTTGGGGCTTAGAACTCTTATATGGGCCTCTACATAAAGAACTAAGTGCAACTTACACGGTAGAGGGAAAAAAAAGAAGAAATTAATCGCAAGTGAAATAACACAGCACAAATCAGAGGAAAAAGTTGGAAACCTGCAAGAGGGACGTTAAGAAAGAGTAGAACTCTATAATTTCTTCAATGATCTGCAAAATATTAGAAAGCTTGCTTAAGTATCACGATTTTCATCTCAACATATGCCAAGAAAACGACCCGAACTTAAAGCTGTTTGTCTCTTCTAACAGAACAAAAACTATGTCCGAAACATAAACCCTCACACCCTTGTCCAACAGACAAATTAAAAGAAAAATTAAACAAAAGATTGCCCTAAATATGAAAAGACCCCAGAACCCATTTGACCCAGAAAACAAATTTTGGAACTAAATCTTCAAGATTTTGACTTTCCAGAGACCAAAAAATTTAACCCAAAACGCACTGAAATAGTATTCAGAAAAATGTGAAAAATCTACCAAACGAGAATCAAGCATTAACTTGAAGCTCAAAAGCATACATACAGTTTTACCATGAAAAAATTAAAGATAGAAAGAATGAGATCATAGATCGGTACCTCGGAGGAAGACGAAAAAAGGTAATCTCTTGGAAAAACAAAAAACAAAATCCACAGCTTTGTGAGCTTAAGAATGGATAGTCACACGAATAATTTCAGACAAACATTTTTCAAACAAAGGTGAAGGCAGATCAAGAAGAGGAGAAAAAGTGGGTCAGTGCGTAGAGACACATTAAATACTCACACCTCACCTTCTCTCACATAGTGTCACAGGAAGAGAATGGTGTTAAATCCGGACTTGAAGATGGAATTAAATCTAGTTAAAGAACCAGACATGGAGAGCGGAGGAGGTGAGAGAAAGTTGTAGTTGGAACTTGGAAGATAAGAATTATTATCAATTATTAAATAAAATATTTAAACAATTCATATTCTCAAATATTCAGATAGGTATAAGTAAATAATTATGAAATATCTTTATAAACTAAGGTTTTTTATTAAATAAATACAAATGATTTGTGTAATTCGGGGGAAAAATAAAAAGATAATAATGAATAAGTAAAAGTCTTACTTTATTAAACGTATGTTTGTGTTGGTCGCTGAATGAAATAATGGGGGCTTATAATATTCAGCCACTATCTATGTGAGCTCAAAAA